CAATGGACTGAGGAATGAAGAATTCCTCCACTTATCAAATAGTGCAGCTCTGGCTTTGGATGGCTCATTAGATAGCAAAGTCAATAGCTAGACAGCTAAATAAAAATATCTGCTTTTCAAAAGGGCTTGAAGAGGAGTTGCACATGCTCAGGATGAATTTCCAAGTGAATTCTCTGAGTTACAGATTTTACCTCCTGATTTTGAAATGATAGTCCGTAAGGCTGCGCATACAATCCTCTTCCACACACAAAACTTCCACCAAAGTATACTGCATTTTGAGATACCCAGGGGATGTGATACTAGCCTCTCTCTGGAAACTTTAAAAGCTAACACATAGCATTCTATGATTTTACAGAAGACATACACAATCTGAAAAAAAGTCTCGTAGGTAACAGCTTAAGTTTTAGGCTACACAAGAACAAATTTACACATATGCTGCTAAAACTAATGAAAAAGAGAACCAGCTTTGTTGGAAAAACATGCTTATATGTTAGTAGCAGAGGAGAAAACAGTAGAAAATATTCCCCTCAGTTTCTGATACTGAATAAAGCTCTGTTTAGTTTTCTAAATTAAAAAGATCAACACTAGAGTCATTGTTAGTCAAATAAAAAACAGGGAAGTCAAATGCAGTTGTTAACTGTTGTTAAAGGTAGAGTGATTTTCCTTTATAAAATCCTCCATATTCCCAGTTATCTAATTTGACTATTTTAACTGTTATCTGTCTGAAGCTTGCCATAAAAAGTCAGCTCTGAGTTTGAATTTTCTTCATCCTAAATGAAGGAAACCAGCCAAACAATTTTAGGGAGCGCAAAGTGGCCTCAACATGTATTCCTAAATTATCTTTGAGTGTCTACGTTTCCGGGGAAATTAACATTATCTCGCTACCTAGTGTAGTAAGCTCCATGTTTTGGGGAGGTGCCCTCACACCTATGATGCCCTTGCCTCGCAGTTCCCATCTCAGCACATTACGTGAGCAGGACTACACCAGGCGAGAGCTCTGCAACTGCAATTAAGGGCTGCCAGAAATGGCACCTTTTAAGTTACTCACCTCTAGCTAGAAACAAGCCCCCCTCAACGTCTCTGCTGCCGAGCAGGTAGCGCTCTCGGGATAATTTAGGCTAATTGGCTTTCAAGCATCAGTCTAGTATGGCTGGCAAGTGTGCAGTAAATAGGCTTAGCAATCTACCTCATGCTTGGCAGCATTAACTGGGGAGTGCAGTTATATCAGACTTATCCACCGCGTCTTCTGCACTGCTCAAGGCAGACGGATGACAAGCTAGCTGTGATCGCTCGTGAGGATTTTTACCCCGTAAGAAAGGGACAAAAGCATTCACCAGATCTCCCTAAAATCAGGGGGAAAAAAAAAAAACTGATGGGAATTCCTCAAGTCACAGTTCCTTAGGAATGCCTGGCAGGGAAAATCTCCCCAAGACTTAGGCCCTGAATAGGCCATATTACATCTTTCCTCCAGAACAATTCCAAAGGGGCCTAAAACTTTCAATAAATAATAATATTTAAAACTGCGCTAGACGCAGTGGTTGTCAGAAGCAAAAGGTGCATCACACTTCACTTGCTGGCTGCACACTTGTACCCTGGTGACACTACAGTCAGAATGCAATAATTTGTGAGAGCAGCTTCCCAACTAAATCATAGCATTATTTACTTATTTATTTATTTTTCTGAAGGAAATTTCCTAGGCTACCTTAACTCTCGGCCCTACCTTCTTCAATATCCTCAGAGTGAGGTCCACTCAGATTGGAAACATTTTCTCGCTACTGATGGACCAAAACTAAACGGGGGGAACGATGCAAGTTATCGTCCACCTCTCGCATCATTAATGAAACTGCAAGTAAGTGTGAATTATTGGTCTTGTTCCAATTTACAACACCAGATGTCAACAGTTCTGTCCCAATTACATGCCTGAGCCACCACTGAGACATTCGTGGGTCAGAAATAGCATAGAGCAGTGAGAAATTCTGCTCCTTGAACTCTGGCTACTGCTAAGAAAAGCAGAACCAAGAGCCCTCTAAATTTAGAAGACTACTTCTTAAATAAAAAATGTGGAGATCTTCTGCGCTGCCGTTTTTATAAAGTCATTCTTCACAGCAAAATTCATTTTCATGAAACTTTAAAGTGATTCTTTTTAAGGAACCATCTGGCTTTTCTATCAAGGCAGTCCCAAGGTCTCTTGGCACTTGTATATTAGAGCACACTTTTCATGTGTAGTTCTCAAACTCGCTTTACAAATATGATTTTCCTTGGAGGTGCACAGTTATAACACTGCACAATCTTAAATACTTAGAGGGTTTTAGCTTATTTTAATGCTGAAGGCAAGAGATGAAGAAGACAAAATTCACTAGTAAAGTCTGGAAGGTCACTGCTAAAGACAGGGAATGCTAGCAGGAATTAGAAAAAAATATATATTTTGACAGTCCTGAATTTTCCAGATCACATAGCTTTACATCATAAACTTCAAGTATGATTTTCCCAGATAGGTACATTTTTTATAGTAGGGACTTTTATTATTATTATTAAGGAAGAAAAGAAAGGGAGGACAGGGAAAGGGCTAGTTGCTTTCCCGACTTCTGAGATAAGGGTGTTTCCTGCAGTTCCCTGAGCAGAAGCAGCGGAGTTTCAGAGGTTGCAACGCGAGGCAAGCAGTGCGTGCGGAAGGCCGGCTGAAGGGAGCGCCGCGCAGCCCGCACCCCTTGTGCCTCCCACATCCCTGCATGCTGCCCGGGAATGGGAGTGGGCTGGGGCCATGTGTCAATGGCACAGCACGCACTGCAGGCAGCAGGGCCAGGGCAGCCGCAGGGCCCTGCAGCCGCCTCGCAGGACAGGGCGGCAGTGGCCTGCAGGTCTGGGGACGCTACTCGTCACCTTGCCAACGGGAACATTCTGCTGCCTTAGTAAGGTTAGTATTTCCTCTGCAAGCACACATGTTGTTTCACTGCTGCAGACTGTTCCTTGTGTGGTTTTGGTTGCCTCTTTGGCCTGATGCTTTCTACTGGTATGTTTTTGTGACAGGGCTAGTGAGGTATTATCGCTCAGTTGGGAAGCGATCAGCAGTGATGACAAAATAAAATAAAATCACTCAGGAAGTTCCCTAAAATCATATGTTTATAACTCTGGTAAACATCTCCCTTGCAAGGCAATGAACAGGAGGGATAAACATATCTCAGCCTATATTCACCAAACCACAAAATGCAAAAGAGTTTCTAGACTCATAGGTTACCTAGAGATAGGGAATGATTGTCCCCAATTTCTGCTCTGGAAGGATAATACTACAATTAAAAGCATAAATGTATCTCTTCCATGAATATGCTTTGCTTACATTTAGATTTGCTTAGAGAACATCCTATATTCTCAAAGTCAGAATACTTGTATGAGTTTTCAAAATCCTCTTCAAGAAAAATAATGGAATCCACTGTATATTCATAGGTAAATCATTCAAACTGGATGACTTGTTAAAAGTCTTATTTATATTCCTGCTTAAATAATAGTTTCTATTTAAAGGATCAGCAAGCATAATCCAGGGTATCAAAGAGCAAGATGTAATAATCTGTTGCTTCATACTAAAGGGAAAGTCCCCTTTCAAATAGCCTAAAAGAGAGAAAGATCTTGATAATCTGTTCTTCAGGGTATGTACTAACTGGTACATATGTGTATTTTTTTTTCTGGTATAATTTGTTTATTTAACTGCATTCTCGAATTTTTGAGGCTTGAATACAAACACTGTGCGAGCAGTGTCTAGGTACACATAAAACAGACATGTAAACATTCCTGCAAATAATTTTCCTGTAGACCCACCTAATTTTAATGCCATGAGCCATGCCATCGAAGTTGGTGGGATTGCTCACACCCCCCTAGACTTAAACATGCTAAACTTATTTCTTGAGAAGATAGAGGGGAGAGAGAAAGGGAGAGGAGAGAAATAGCCTCAAACATGAGCCTAAGTTTGCTCCAGTAAAATCTAGATGGGAAGTTACATATATGTGTGTGCATGTGTGGGTAAAATCTAATACTGAACCTAACCAAATGTACATTAAAATATATATTTTTTAAAGGACTAATGTTCTTTCTTAAATGCTATCTGCTGCATGCCCGTGTCATGCACTCCCACCAAACAAACAGTGGTCCTGCTGTTCCTGGGAGCCTTTGGAAATCACATGCCAAACATCACACGCACCAACTCACTCCCTGCCCTTCGGGGCCCTGTTAGGAAACAGGGGCTTTCCTAGCACGCCGCGTGCTCGGTCTGCAAGGGTCAGTGACCTCAGGAGGCTGCTCTAAATGTAACGCTGGCACACCCCAGATTTTTATAATCCCTCCCCCCCAAAAAAAACACAAACAGAGCAACGTTTTTGCTCCCCCGCGTTAATGGAGGATACAGGAAATAGATTGTAAGTGATATTAGCACTGCTAGAAATGAGCAAAAGCAGAGCAATTATATCATGCAAAGCATGCAGAGAGAAGAGGAAAAAAAGTACTGAAGCACCAGAAGGATAGAAGCATTTGTTAAAAGAGATTCTCTAAGCATACTAACCTGCTGGTTCTAATGAATTTTCTACTTTGTCGTTAACATCGAAAACACGATCATGAACACCTATAGTTTTCATACAGCTGTCTATAACAAAAATAGAGATAACAGCCAAATATGTTAGTGAGACACCCTTAAACCCCCCACTTTCCTTTTTTTTCTCTCTATCTTTTTTTCTCTCTGCTTATTATATAAAAGTAAGTATATTTATATATTAAAGTCTGTGGCACTTGTCCAGAGTCCAGTAGCCTTCCATTCGTACAACAGTTTAAGAAACAACAAGTTAGCAATTGCCATGTAATTAAAACAAAGCTTTATGAAGAATGATAAGAAAATATGATGAAAATCATAACACAAATGTTTCTGTACAGAACAGATACATAAGATTTAACAGTAAAAAAAAAAGTTTCATTGCTGTTTACCAGACCACACAGTAAAGCATGCACTACAGAGCCACCCTTAAAAGCTTAATGTAAAGAACTTACTTGCTGGTCGCACAAAGACCTTAAGCTTTAGACAGGATCTCCTTCCATTATCGGGGATCACAGAAGCTGGATATGGGGAAGAATGAAAGAGAAGATGGAGAGAGAGAGAATTAGCCTTTGTCTTGCAAGAAAATATCCTTTAATTTCCTTTCATCTGAAGGGATAAACACATTTCAGCCTCTGAATTTATGGATTTCAAGGAGTGAAAGTATCTTGCTCATACAAAAACACGAGAAGAACTTCACATCTGATCTTGTTATAATCCCTCTCTTGAGTATTTTGCATGAAGAATGAAGCACATCATATTTGCAAAAGTTGCATTATCGCCTTTCACCTTTCCACAAGAGGCTGTTTAATATGGTTTCTGCCATAATGAAGGTGAATACTCTGAAAATTTATGCTTTGTAATACTTAGAATTACTTACAGAAAAGCTAGTCTTGAAATGTTAAACCAAAAAGGGATGGAAAAAAAAAGAAACAGAAAAAATGACAGTGACTTCCAAAAATTTAAGTATGTATCTACCTCCAAATTAACAGAAATATGTACAGGTAAATCCTACAGGCAAAGTCAGCACCCACGTTCCATAATCGATCGTTGTTGCAAAAACACTTACCTTGCTACAGCAAAAACACAATTCCCTGTGTTATGTAATAGGCTAAACCTAAACTCAGTTCATTCCCTGGCATTCGCCATTCTGTGTGTTTCATTACAAGAGCACTTACTGTCCAAGCAGCAAATGAAGAGGAGGAAAGGACACGTCTAGCACATGCACAGACCACTATGGCCAGCATCTGCTTATTTCCCTAGGACCAAGTGCTGCTACAAATATTTCCTTACTTATCAAAACTGGCCTCAAAAAGTGCAATTAAAGTGAAATCCCCCTGCCTGTCACTATGGACCGGATTTTCTGCCAACTCGAAGTCACCTTGGCAACTTCCATCAACGTTTGCAATTTTTAAGTTGTACTTTGGCCCAAAGTGAAACACACACGCTGGCAACCGAGCTACTCCATTTGGGCATACAAATTTTCACCTGTGAAAGATCATCTGCAAATATATTTTTTCTTTTTTTTTTCACCCTTGCAAAAAGTCTCAGAAGCAATAGCTGAAGATATTGCCTGAAGCACACTGCAAAGTCATTTTATTCCATTACACAGCCGCCTCCGCCATTCAAAAAGCTACGAACTAAGGCAGAGCAAGAGATGCTTTTTCTTGAAAATGGCAACTCCTGGAAGCTGCCTGGATTTGCAAAAAGCTGCTGGGACTGGCAGGAAGTCTGCTTTGCTTATCATTCGTTCTTATTAAGCCTGTCCCTGTTTGTGACAATTAACGAACATCATTTATGTACAGCCACATTAACTCGTGCTCTCAGGCTCCTCAGCATCCTGGCAATCAGTTCCCCTCACTCCGAGATGCTGTGCTCCCAGGACAAGCATCAGCTCTTTTTCCTAGGAAGGCCTGGCAATCTCAGTATGCGCACACACAAAAGGAAAACGGAATAATGTCAGTGTGGAATAGAGCTAGCGCTGCAGCTCTGCACCTGCTGGGAAGTCCTTGAGAGATGGTTTCCTCCTTTGGATTAAAATGGAGAAAAGTGTGCTGGGAGGATGCTCCCCCCTCCGCAGGCCCGGGCATCTCCAAAGTGCAAGCAGCTGCCTTTACTGGAGGCTCTTACTAAATCAAAGGCAGAGAAATCTCCCTCCGCTGACGTTTGCAGTAACCAGTGTGTTCTTTAGGGCACAATATTTGCACTGCATGATTATAGCCGGGAAACTGGGCCCTCCCTGTGGCCCTGGCTGAGTACATGCAACTGGCTCACTGCTCAGCTCGGACCAAACAGGCGCGGGGACTGCTCCCAAGAGCAACATTGGACACCTATTACCACATTGTTAATGCAAAGGTGGGAATAATGTTTCCAATGCCAGCCAAATCAGAGACCGTATTGTCATGTCTCCACTGAAGGGCTTTTTGCTGCTCAGAAATTATTTTAGAAATGCATCCAGATGCAAATTTATTTGGGAGAAAAATATTAAAATCTGCTCCCTGTTTAAAGCTCCTTTTCCTACCAGCCCTTACCAGACTTTGCATATTAAATGTTAGATCGTCTTCAGGTTGCAATACAGCAGGTACATTTAATTCATCATCCTAGGAACTGACACAGTTTTAGTGATAAGTATGAAAAAGTGCTTTTTTTCCTTTCCAAGGAAATTACACACTCATGCTTGCAATAAAATTAGGAGGATTCCTCTTTCACCGCAGTGCTTTACTCCTTCAGGAAGGAATAATATGAATAATAATTTTTAAAAGTGAGTTTCTATTCTGCTCACATCTGATCAACCAGCAGGAACCAGGTGATGAAGGGAAACACTGCAATCTCTCTGGCCTTCCTGAGAAATTAAGAAATTGTTTGTCTAGCTGGATGCCTGCAATCAATTTTCATTTCTTCCCTTCTTCTCTCCTCCTTCCCTCCCCCTTTTCCTTTTCATCTATGAACAAAAACACTGAGGAGTTGTAGTGTTCACTCTAAGTCCAGATGTGTCACCCAAAGAGCACAGCCAGGATGGCTCCTGTCATCTCTCCTCCTCCTCACACACACACATTGCAGTGAGTTTGTCAGGACTGTTCTGCTGTCTTCCCTCTCCTCTTTATTCTGCAATGTTTTCACCATTAATCTGTGAAAACCCTGACTTTCGAATTAAGATATCCAGGATAAGCTGGCAACAACTGGTAACAGCTATCCTGGAAAACCCCAAGATCTTTTTTTTCCTGAATGTTCAACACTAGGAATACCAGACTTGCTTTTGACTAGGCAAAGCCAACACTGTTCATTAAATCTTTTTTTTTTTTTTTCCATATATCAATGCCTTGAAGTTTGAACTCAAGCTGAAGGTTTAAATCTTGTTCTTCCCTAGGAAAGCAGTCTTAATGACAACCTTTTGTTTCAGAGCTGTATCAGGGTGACTTATACAAGGGAGTTTTAAGTATTAACTACAAAAAAAAAAAAAAAAAAAAAACCCTAAATGACCAAAAACAACGGTGAGGGTAAAATGTATGTATTTCTGGCAATAAACACTGAGAGTGCTTTTTCTGGAGGGAAAATAACTCATCAGCTGTGAGCCATCAAAAACAGAGGATCACATGAAAAATTCTGGGCTCAGCTTGGTTTTTGGAACCAAAAGCCTCCTATCAAATTGATAGTGCCTGGAAAAGTTCAAAACTTGACTTCTACACTTAAGGGTAGGAAAGAGCAAAGTGGTAACAGAAAGATCAGAGGTCTTCAGCTCTTCTGCTTTCCAAGAGAAGCAACTTTCCAATGCAGCAGAATCTGACAAACTCCTCACCTGTCAGACAGCACCACCTCTGAACTCTGGAAAGGAGAAAAAGAAACGGTTTGACCAGCCTTTTTTCCTCCCCCCCGGACCCCCTGCCGCTGTAGCTGCATTCTGCAGAAACTAGCTCTGCTATAAGAAAAGATGTCCTCCCGAGGCAGTACAAAGGGAAACCTCATTTTCCGCCTGCGTAGAACCAAGTTAGCCTTTGAGGCTTTGCTCTACGGCTCTTCTGTTTGCTCCTTTTTAAAGGTGATATTAGCTGTAAAATAGAAGCCAGTTCTGAGAGCAGGAAGCCTCTGATGCTAATAGAACCTGTCCCAAGCAACATTTTCCTTTTCAAAAGGCAAAATTCCCAGGGAAAAATAAAAGGGTGATGGAAATCTTGTTGCAACAACAAAAAGAAGCCTTTGATAAAAGATCCCCTATAAGGAACAAAAGAGGTTAGACCCCTTTTTTTTTCTTTTTCTTCCATGAATGATAAGAGAACAGAAAGGAATCAGGCAGCGAGGCTCAGAATGAAAAACAGAAAGGGAATTTTACAATGTTGCAAATTCCTATGATTTTATTACAATTCCAACACTATTCCCACCAACCCCTGTGCCCCATCACCAGCAACCTCATGAGAATCTCCTGGGTCTGTTTTAAAGAGCACGTTTTTGGCTTCATCATTACATAAAGACTTGGGTCTAGAAGGAAAAATATTAAATCCCTTTGAAATCACAAGATATACCAATTCAACAGTTATAAAAAAATGTTTCAGTTTCTTCCCTTAAAAAAAAAAACAGAGATTTCCATCATTCAGGAGAAATTCAGGTCATGATTTCAGCATTCTTGAGGTGAAAATTCTGTCTTCATTCAGCTGAACTAGAAACAAAAAAAAGAACATGCAAAAAACTACTTCTGCACACAGACCTAGATCCAACTTGGATCCAAAAAATGGCACATAAAGACAAATTGGATGACAAAATTTATCTTCTCTGAACTACTTCTGGCTACCATTTTTATACCCTGTAAGGAAAGGAAAAAGAGTAAAGAAAATTACTCTCTCCTCATCTAGAGCCAAACCATTGATATTTCAGTATTTGTGAGCTATATTTAAATAGGGAAATAACAGTCCTGCTCCCTCCACCCCACTCTCAAGCAGTTCTCTTCTAGAAAACACATTAGATATTATTAATACATTATACATAACAGCTTAAGCTCTTAATCAGACAGGATAAGGCTTAGCAGAGTTTTTCAATAACTACTAGGGAGCCATAGAGAGAAAACAAGATGTAACATACACAGAAACAGTTTTTCCCTCACAACAGATCTGCAGTTGAGCCATTACATTAAATCCCCAAATCTCCTTAAGGGAGTTGTGAAGAATGGCCCCATCAAGTCATGAAACGGGCTAATTAAAAAGCAAAACATTGAGGAAAAGGTAAGAAAATTTCCAAAGTAAATTGGTTATCAAGACCCACTAGTCAGGAGCTGCAGTTAAATATTTCCCTTTCCGAGATAGGCAGTAGTTGGACTGGCAACTATTTGAGGCTCAGTTTCTTGAGCAAGAAGAGCATGTTATTTGGAGGCTGCCTATAGAAAGCATCTCAACCATCTCCTCTGCTGATATTCACAGGCGATCAGCAGTTTCCTCTGCTTGTCTCCTAATTCATTCTTAGCCTTCTAGTTGTAACATTGCACCTTTTGCTAAAAGGAAAAGCAGGGAACAGATGGATGCAAAAAAGAAAAGAA